TCTCCAAGGGGTCTGAAAAGTCGCTAAATATAGCGACAAAGTCGCTGAGTTGGCAACACTGGCTTCGGCTGCTCAGATGTGTCAAGATGCGCTGCTCCTGCTGCTTGTGACAAGCTGTAGGACAGGGGTCACCAACCTTTTAAAGGCTGAGGGCTACTTCATGGCTACCGAGTCATAGGAAGGGCTACTAATACTGACCTATGAACTAGGGGAATCAGTGTTCACCTATATCTCATCCATAAGAAACTCATTTTTATTCTTATTTTATTTTTTTTATTATTTTCTCATTTTCTTTTTAATATTGTCATTTTGAAACCACTGAAATATGATGAAATAATACATAAATGATTAAAAAGAAGAGCAACAGAATAAAAAAAAAATAAACTTAACCCACCAAGTGAGCTGTTCTGTTTACAGAAGACGAAGAGGGCACCCCATGTGGTCCTTGAGGGCCTCTTGGTGCCCGCGGGCACCGCGTTGGTGACCCCTGCTGTAGGACCTCTTGATGCGCCTTAATGTGCATCAACCGTTGACTTTACATGTAAACCAGCTGCTTTTGCTGCTTCCATCGCGTGCGTTCTGAACCTAGCATTATTGTTAATCTCTTCTGCAGACATGAACATCCTGAACTGTTTCCTGTCTTTTAACGGCCTTGCTTTTCTAATTAAAGAAAGATTCATTTTAACGGCTTAAGAGAGAACTCGGATCCTTGAAATCATGACACCAACAGAATGGACAAAGATAACACAGAAAGCTGTTTTATGTTATGTTAAGAAGATAGAAATAGATTACAGAAATGTCTTGTCTGTCTCTTTCTGTCACCAGGTAATGAACCCATCAGAGCTTTGGTTAGATGCTTAGAACAGATTAATATATGAGTGTAACATCTTTTTCTCCAACTGAATAAAAACAAACTTGAGGTCATCTTTGGACCAAAGGAGCAGAGATCCAGAGTTAGCTCAGAGCTTTAGCTACTGCAGCTAGAAACCACTGATCATGGCTGACATCTTGGTGTCATCATCAACTGTGTCTTATGTAGTAGATGTTATATGAATTGAGCTAAATGACCGTTTGTTTAGATGATCTCCACTTTTCCTTCCCCGTTGGCCAAGTGACTCCGCCTCCCCACCTGATGCCTTGCGCCATTTTTCTTCTCTCTTAGTCCCCGTCCACACGAAGTCAAAACGAACACGAAACGCTAATATTTTCCAGAACGTTTAAAGACGGAGACGTAAAATAAATGTGATCGTCCACACGAATGCATGAAAACGCTG